CTTCTTACCTGCATGGTTTCTGCCGAATAATCTGAGCTTAGTCTTATTGTTTCTCCTCTGTATGTGACTTTTTGTTTTTCTCAAGCTGCTCTCAGGATTCTTTCTTTGTCTTTAGTTTTAGCGAGTGTGATTATGATATGCCTTCGTGACTTTCTTTTGGGGTCTATCCTATATGGGGTTTGTTGAGCTTCTTGGATGGCCAGCTTTTCATCTTTCATGATATTGGGAAAGTTTTCTGTCAGCAGTTCTTCAATGATCCTCTCTGTATTTTCTGTTTTCTCCCCCTGTTCTGGAACTCCAATCACTTGCAGATTTTTGCTTTTGGTTGTATCCCACATAACTCTCAAGGTCTCTTCATTTTTCTATGTTCTTTTTTCTGAATTTTCCTCAAACACAGTTGTATCCAAGTGTTTGTCTTCAGTTCCACTGGTCCTGTCCTCCATCGTTTCAAACCTACACCTTCTATGACACTGTCCATTTTTGAAATCTTGTTGTTTATCTTTTGGATTTCTAATTGTTGTTTTTGCATAATTTCTAGTTGTGAATTTATTTTAGCATTTTGTTCCTGTATATTATTTTCTTGAATTCTTCCATTTTTTTGTCTATATTTTCCATGAATTTGTCTATTTTTTCCTCATTTTTGTCTGTTTTTTGCTTCAACTCTTGGATAATTCTGAATATTAGAGATTTGAATTCCCTATCAATTAGGTCTAGTGCCTTTTGTTCTACTGGAAAGTCATCTGGTGTTTTATTTTGGATGCCTACTGGAAGCATCCTGTCTTGTTTTTGTAAATGTTTTGATATTGTCTGCTGTCTTCGGGGCATTTAGTGGTTAATTTCGTCATTTATTGATTGTAGATTTGTTTGTTTCATCATGCTTTTTTGTTTTATTTGGTTATGTCTGAGCAGGCGGGCTTTGCGTTCTTTGTTGTTTGCTCGTCTGTGGGCACTATACTTTTCACCTCCTTCTCCAATGGGCAGGGTCAGTCACTCAGGTATGGTACAGCAGGGCAGGTCCAGCTGAAGGGGAGTTGCTGGGATAGGTTTTTTGTGGCATGTACCAGGGCTGACAGTGCAGACTGGGAGTCAGTGCAGGACAGATTCCAGTAGGCCGTGCCTGTGTTGCTTGGGAGTGTGATGTTTAGCACACAGTGCAGGTAGGCAGGAAGGAGGGGATAGATTGTGATGGGTGGAGCTAAGATGGGTATGGGAAAGATGAGAGAGGAGAGAGGAACAGGAGCCAAAGACATACACACAAACAAAAAAGAGTGCTAAGGAAGCTTGCTATTGGAGTGGAGAGATGAGAGACTGAGAAATGGGGGAAAGAAAAAAGAAAAAAAAAGAAAAGGGGTAAAAGAAAAAAATGAATAAATTGAGAAACTGAAAATGAAGAAAGACAAAAAGGGAAAAAGAGAAGAAAACTAAACAAAGAAATTAAAAAAAAAAACAAGAAAAAAGAAATGCCCCCAGGGACGTCCCTATGTGTCTGCACAGAGTAAGGGACTAGCTTCCAAGCCACGTGGTACTTCCTGACTAGAAGGGGCTCCCAAGCCGAGAAAAGGAAAAGAAGAAAAAAAAATCAAAATGGAACAAATCAGAGCAAACAAACAAATAAACAAAAAAACCCTGGGGGTCCCAACAGCATGGCGGCACGGGCCGGGAAGCAGTTTCACAGTCAAGCAGTGTTTCGCAGCCTTTTGGGAAAAAGCAAAGATTGCACATGGAGCCAGGTATCTGAGAGAAAGAAGGGGGAGGTGGTGAGAGGTAAGGAAGAAATCTAAAGAAGCAGAAAAAAGCAACACCAGAAGCCAACAAATGGCACGCAGGGAGCTGGCCAGTGCAGGCAGGTGGAATCCAAGTGGCACT